TGGACCATCTTTCACCAAAACATTACTGTGTCAGACTCCTGCTTGACAATGTACGAGGTGTGTAATCTTGAGCAAATCTCTTCAGTTCTCTGTGCCACAGGAATTCCTTTGTAGAATGACTGCAGTAGATCAGAAAATTGCCAAGAATTTTTGTAGCTCTAAAAATTCTCGGATTCCACGGCTGTCCGGCTTGATAACCAACATGTATAAACAGCCATCACACCTATAAATTGTGTTGTCCATGAGTTCAGTATGTAAACTTGAGTGTGATTAAAGAGCAGCTGAGTGAAGCTGACTCTTCATCAGCCAACTGCATTTGGCCTTTGAACTAACCACTTCATTTTCCCCCAGCTCAAGAGAAGGCTGAGTTGTTGAGATGCCACCCTTAAAGCCACACCCTCATGCCCCGCCCCCCACCCCCACCCCGGTCGACCGCCCATTCCACGAAAGAAGCCCAAGCTCAGCTTCCTATGTCTAGGAAGCTTCTTCGTGATCTAACCTTCTGCTCACAGCTGGACATGACTTTCAAAGAGCTGAAGGTCAAAGGCCATTCTTTCCAGTACAAGAGAAAACACCCTGTGGGTGAGAAAGACAGAACAAGTTGGAAGAGAAAGAATAGTAATACAATTAAGCTATGGTTTATGATGTTGGAATGCAGATTTTGTTGGGAAAAAAATGGAAAGTTCTCCAGCTTTCTACACTTGAACCCAAACCCCCTACAGTATCAGGAAACCAGGAACTTAAACTGTCACAAGAAATATAATAGGTCTTAAAGAAAGCCTATATCGTATCAGAGAGAAAGCACTGCAGGCTGCCAATTCCTTGAAAGGGGTGTGGCTTTAGAGTCACAAATTAAGACTCATGAAAGTTTTGCATGAGATTTTGGAACAGAACACTACCATCAGGTAAAAAATGCCATTCTCTTTTGGATTAAAATCAAATTGTATCATCATCTGGGCCCACCATCCTAGAGGAACAGCCTTATGACTCGAGATAGAAAGCAAAGACATAAGCCCTTAGCAAAGAATCCGACTTGGAGTAAATAAATGGGATGCTTCAACCATTAGGGGTGGATGCTAACATGTTTAAAACCTGAGCTGAGGTTAGCAACTATCCAAGAAAAGCTAAAAAATAAATTAATTAATTAAAAGGCTGGGAAATCTGTGGGTCTATAATCTCTCCCGTCTTCCAGAGCTTCATGGGAGAATATGCACATACAATAGGTCAACTCTGACAGGGCACCACACGCTGGGCTATGAACCCTCCTGGTCCAGGGATTTGTTATGAAGGCTTTCAGGCCAGTTCCGGCCCCAGGGCCAGAGCATCTCCAGAGAAGCTTCCAGCCTCCAGCCCTGCACTTTGTACTGGCCAAGACTCAGCCTCTCACCTCTCAGAGTTGGGAGGCAGCATATTAAAAGAATGGCTTGTGACGGTTTAGATATAAGTCTGAAGGTCAGGCAGCGGCCCCCCAAAACACTTTTTCATGTGTAAAATTCAATGAGTTTTAGTAAATTTACTGAGCTGTGTAACTATCACCACAATCCAATTTTAGAACACTGTCATCTCCCCCATAAGACAGTTCATCACTGTTCCTGCTGCCAGGCCCAGGTCAGTGCCTGTTGTGTGTCCTTCCCTTCCCTCCACTCCCAGGTCCTCAGTTTATTTCCCAGCATACGTTGCATAGAGTGGTTATGCACATGTTTCCCAGTAAGAGACAGTGCCTGGGCCATCAGCTACCCTTTGGAGGTTGGACACAAATGCACACATGTGCACACACACAGACACACACACACACCACCCAGGGAGCTGGTACAACACCCCTCATCCAGCCCATCAGGGAGAAGTCCAACATGCATGCTCCAAATGCTTCCAACCCAGCTGTTACAGGTATGGTCGCGGTTTTCAAAAGCTGCAGGAAGGGCCTCCCTGGTGGCGCAGTGGTTGGGAGTCCGCCTGCCGATGCAGGGGATACGGGTTCGTGCCCCGGTCCGGGAGGATCCCACATGCCGCGGAGCGGCTGGGCCCGTGAGCCATGGCCGCTGAGCTTGCGCGTCCGGCAACGGGAGGGGCCACGACAGTGAGAGGCCCACATATGGCAAAAAAAAAAAAAAAAAAAAAAAGCTGCAGGAAAACTGAATATTACCCTCCACAAAAGATATTATGTTTAGAACTCAGGATCATGCAGACCCTTAAACTGAGGATCCTCCCTGTGCTTCTTGAAGACAATACCCAGGAATTCAGAGGCAAAAACTCATAAGAAGATCAAAGAACTGAAGAAAATAACCATAATCATACAGCTTCCAGAAAGTCAGGCACACCACTTACCCAATATGCTTTTTAACAGCAAAGGTTAAATTCAGTCCTAGAAAACAGTGGAAAGAGACTCAAAGAAGCATCTTTAAATGTGTTCTTGTTTAGCGTGTATAAGAAATCGGTGTCCAACTTCTGTTTTCTTTTCTTTCGTCAGTGTGTTGCATACAGTGGCTACCTAGGTGTTTTCTGGTAGGAGGAACCGTTAATGCCATCAGGTAAATCCACCTTGTGGAGGTCAGAAAATGTGAGGCCCTGACTGCTCGTCCTGAGAGGTGGACCTGGCCTCTGTCACCTGTGCACTGAGAAAATGAGCACTGGCTATTGTGCTTCTATCTGGAAAAACTAGACCCATAATATGAGACCATTCAGTGGCAAACAACCCTGAAACACATTTTAATGTAACTAATACCCACATCAAATTCATTTTTTAATATTTTAAAATTTTCACTGATTGAAAAACAGTGGCAAAATGGATTCATGCAAATAAATAGCAAAACAACACATTCTTTTAAAAAATTTTTAGATAAGCAAAAACTGGATAGCATCTTTCATAACGACGAGGTTCTTCCACTTACGAGTTCGGAAAAAACTCCGTATCAATTTTGCCCAGTTGCTAAAAATTCTGTTTCATATAAACATCACACATTTTCCCATTTTTCTCTCCTGAAAACGCACTGTGACCAAAATGTATGAAACATTGACTGGGCCTACATCAAAAGGATCTTCCTAAGAAAATGGCAAAACAAAAATGAAAATTTTTTCATAGTTATACAGCTTTTTTTGAAGCATAAAAGCGGACTCTTTTTTTTTTTTTTTTTTGCGGTACGCGGGCCTCTCACTGTTGTGGCCTCTCCCGTTGCGGAGCACAGGCTCCGGACGCGCAGGCTCAGCGGCCATGGCTCACGGGCCTAGCCGCTCCGCGGCATGCGGGATCCTCCCGGACCGGGGCACGAACCCGCGTCCCCTGCATCGGCAGGCCGACTCTCAACCACTGCGCCACCAGGGAAGCCCCAGACATTTTAAAAATGCATGAAATCCCATGGCCCCTTCCCCCAACCTTTGCAACAGAGCTCATATATTTTTGTATTTTCTATTTTTGAAAAGGAGAAAAAATATTAAGAGAACTTAAATCCAGATAGGGAAACCCGGAAGAATTATTTCACATACTTTTAACTTTCTATTTTCACAGCCACTCAAATTAGACAAATTACTGTGACAAGCGTGACTGTAAAATAATGATGGAAAGAAGTGATAATCTTACAAAACATAGATTTCTGATTAGAGCAGATCATAAATCAATTAAATTGAAGTGATTTCCACTCTGGCTTTTAAGAATCAAAGCGAAGGTCTAAAAATCAATTTACCCAATTTTCACATTACCTTAACTGAATTTCAAGAATGATCTAATCCCCATATTTGAAAGAACAGGCACAAAATTAAAGCTGGATTGCTACCTGATTCTTCACTACATTAAGGAGAACACCCCAATCTGTTTGCCACAGAATGCTGGTAAAAACAACGCTAAGGCACTAAACACAAGGGAATACAATCCAGTTGTAAAAGCTATTTATCCATCAGTCTGGGGATAATTAACCCAGAGAAGATAATTCTTATTTGAAACACACCAAGTCAAAGAATACCCAAAGAGAAGATACACACAACAGAAGTAAAGCATCATCATTAATGCATATCCTGTAATGCAGATCAAAAGCAATCAAACAACTGACATGACCAACACCAGGCTCTGAGTGCGTTTCCCCATATTACAAGCAGCAGAAATTAAGCCTCTGAAACAAGGACTGGAAATGTTGTTTCCACAACACCCTGAACACTAGGAAAGTAGGCTCTATACAGTGTCGTGAGAAAATCAGCTGACACCTCACAAGTCTTTCATTATAAACGGCATTCGTGTCTTCCATGGACCTTCATTCAACAATGCGTTCAGAAAGAACTCGTCTTCAGAAAAGAAGTCATTTAAATGTGTTTCACCTTAAAATAAAAGGAGCCGATTCCATAATTGGGTCAACTTTCCACTAAATAACTACAATAGAAACAATGATTTCCACACTCGAACGAGTAAGTAATAACTGAAAAGCTTCTCAACTATTGGGAAGCAATTAAATTCCAACATGTGCTACTACATACAGTCAAATTTTTTATCAAGAATATCAGTGCAACCAATCTTTGTTCTGACAAGCAGGACTTTTCACTTACTCTTTAAAGAATCAAACAAACCTCTTTTCCTACTCCCCAGGTAGTGGGAATAGTTCAAGTTCTACAAATCCCATGACTATGACCTTCCCATTATCAAAATCCTGAATTCCAGGTGTGCCTATTTTGAAAGTTCTTGCAGGAACTTTCAACTGCAGCATAAAGATTTTACAATCATAATGTTTTTCATACTGAAAAACAAGATACGTCATTCATAAACACTTCCCAAAAGTCAGCCTGTTATATTTTCACAAAATAACAGCATTTACCTTAAACCACATCAAAACAACTTTAGTAGAGGGTGACAGCAATGCAACAAAAAAGAAACCTGGGAAAACCTTGGCCTTCTCATATTTAAGAATCTCATATGCTTCCACTCAGTAGAACAGAACTGAAACTCACACCTTTTACGTGTCTTCCAAACACAGCCAGCACTGTGACCAGAGCACAAGAGATAATGAAGAGCAGATGCCTACCTTCACTGGTAGCCACATTCTTCTGGGCTTGGGTCGGCGTGTGATCTGTACTTGAACTCACGTCGGATGAGATGCTTGAGCTGCCTTTGCCTAGAGAAAACAGGAATGAGCAGCTTTTGAGTTTTGTAATTTCAGAACTGGACCGTGCCTTCCACTCCATCCCTTACCAAGCCATATCACTTGTTTCCAAGAAAGAAGCCATAATACCAAGAAAGGAGTTCATTAGGTTCCTTGCCTTAGGCATTAAGTATCTTTTGGGAAATAGCTGACCCATGTCATAGTAGAACTAAAGCCCTATTATAATATGGCTTGACTATAAATTCAGACAAGATTATAAAACACAGTCAAATATGATAACATAATCTTGTTTTGGCATACATGTGGATAAGAGCGTCCATGCGGGAAACACATCTACGGTATTAAGTTTTTCTTTGCAACTATAAACTATACGTTTCCTAATAAAGGATAAAGACAAATCTAAGAATGAGGCATTAGCCAAGGAGCAAGAGCCAGCTGGCTCCAAACAGCTGCATCACCTTAAAAAGCAAATTCCCTGCTTTAATGGGTTCTTCATGAAAACAAAACAAAAAGGGCTTCCCTGGTGGCACAGTGGTTGAGAGTCCACCTGCCAATAACAGGGGACGCGGTTCGTGCCCCGGTCTGGGAAGATCCCACATGCCGTGGAGCGGCTGGGCCCGTGAGCCATGGACGCTGGGCCTGCGCGTCCGGAGCCTGTGCTCCGCAATGGGAGAGGCCACAACAGTGAGAGGCCCGCGTACCGCAAAAAAAAAAACACCCACTTTGTTTTTCTAATGCAGGACTTCTCATATGGGGGTGCCTCTCCCTCAGGTGGACATCTGGTAATCAACTGGGGAAGGTGTGCTACTGGATTCTAGTGGGTAGAGGCCAGGGATGCTGCTCCACATCTTACAACGTATACAACGGCACCTCATGAGAAAGAATTATGCAGCCCAGAACATCAATTTGCTGAAGTTGAGAAACCCTGGTCTAAATAACCTCACCTCAGCTCACAACTGAGTTTCTACTCTTCTAAATTTTAATTTGAACATATACATTAATATTGCAGACATTCTGCAAATGCACATGAAAGTCTACAAATATGAACCACACTCACTGCCTCGGGAGGGAAGTGCCAATGACCATGGTGGACAGCATTCTAAGATGATCCCCATGGTACCTGCTACAGGCTGAATGTTTATGTTCCCTAAAACTCATATCTTAAAACCTAATCCCCAATGCCATGGTATTTCGGAGGTGATTAGCCTTTGGAGGTGATTAGGTCATAAGGGTAGAGCCCTCATCGATGGGATTAGTGCCCTTATTGAAGAGACCCCAGAGAGCTCCTTTGCCCCTTCTACCATGAGGACACAGGGAAGAGATGGCCGTCTACGAACCAGGAAGCAGGTCCTCACCAGACAGCTTGATCTCAAACTTTTCAGCCTCCAAAACTGTGAGAATGAAATATCTGTTGTTATAAGCCACCCAGTCTATGGTATTTTGTTGTAGCAACCTGGACAGGTTAAGCCAGTGCCCATGCCCTTGGTAACCTGCTCCCCTTGAGTATGGATAGAACTTGCAATTTGCCACTAAGCAACAGGACATGGCAATGGTGAGAGGATTTTGCCAACGTAATTAAATTTCCTATAGCATTAACTTTAATCAAAAGGGTGATTATCCTGGGTGGGCCTGACCTAAATACATAAGTAAACCCTTTAAAAGAGCCTAGAGGAGAGAGATCCTTCCTACTGGTCTTGAAGAAGCAAACCACCATGAGTTCCACAGCTGCAAGGAAATGAATTCTACCGATCCCACATGAGTCTGGAAGAAGACCCCAACCTCACATGAGAAAGCAGCTCTGGTCAACACCTTGACTGCAGCTTTGCAAGATCCTGAACAAAAGACCCAGCTGATCCAAGCCCAGAATCGTGACCCAAGGAAACAGTGAAATAATAGATATCTCGTGGTAAGCTGCTGCTAAATTCATGGTAATCTGTTATGCAGCAATAGAAAACTAAAACAGTCACCAACCAATTACATCCCAGATGAACTCTTTTCACACCACAAGTTATGATCTAAACTCTTACATTAAGCTGAGAAACACTGTTTTCCAGTAGTCTTCCCGGCATAGTGTACACACCCCAGTTAGGCAGAGTGAGTTTATAGTCTATAACAAGGACAAAGTAGAAAAGCACAAATGGGCTTCAATTGAAAGAGCTTCAGGATTTTGTTTGCTAATGTTGAGAGTAATGGAACAATCCAAGTTCATGGGCGACATCACCAGAGCAGTGAAGTTCAAGGGCTGTTGCTTCTCACCACTGCTCATTGTAACTTATGGCTCTGAAACAGTTCTGTTATTCCCATCATTTCTGCCTGTTTCACATCCTCCTCTCTCAGAGTTAGCAGACAGTGCAGAAACTCTCCATCAGTATGTGTCAGGCCTTTGTGGCAGCATTTATATGAGTCAGGCAGCACCATTTATCTGCCATGGTTCACCCTTGGTGGGGGCTGACATGTTGGACCTGGTACCTAGTTAGAAGTACGTCAACCTGGTCTCTGATCTCAGTCTGCTGCTCCCTTGTTCTCTGACCTTGGACATTCACTTCTCAGTGTCGACATCTGATAGGGGAGATGGTTGGACTAAGTGATTCCCAGCAGCTCAAATAGTCTATGATTCTACGAGTCCATGGTCATTCCTCAAACCTGAGTCATGCAACTGCTACTGTAATATGGCAAAAAAAAATTATTGTGCACCACTAACTTACAGAAATTATTTCTATTATATTGTCACTTGTGATGCACAAGTGGAAAACTAGAAATGACCTCCATCTGCCTTAGATCTGATTCAACAATAAGACCAAAACAAACTAACAAACTGGACATGAAAACAATAAAACCCATAAAATTCAAATGAACAGCATTAATTTAACATGGCAGATGGTGTTATTTTGCTGAGATTACATTGCCTTTGAAAACGTAAATACAACACTGGCTCCTGAAGCCAATGGGCTCTTGGTTTGGGCATGTCCTCACTACCCCGGCCCTCTGGGGACTCGCCCTGCCCACCACTTCCATCCACTTGAACCTGGGGAGTCCTTCCTGCTACAACAGGGCGCACGTCAGTTGGCCCTCACTTGCTCTGACTGTATCATTCACGCGCTTTCAGTCTGCTCCTCTTTCATTCCTTATTGGCCTATAACCGCTGAAGGAGAGCTCCCTCCTTAAAAGCCAGGTGCAAACTTGGGCAATGAAATCTTGTGGGAGGACTATGCTACAAAGAGGACCGGTATGCAAGCATCGTCTTTAAGATCAACATAAAAATTAAAGCACAAAAGAAAACAACAAATTTCAGGAGAAATTTTCAGACAGATCTGAAAATGTGTGGGCAGATCCCTCAGAAGACCACGATCTGCAGTATAGGAAATTCTGGTCTATGAAGAAAGGCAAGAAGATTGGGGAAACACATACTATTATTAATGATGTTTCTAATAAATAGCTAACACTGAGCGCATAAGCTGTGCTGCATAGTCCAGTAAATACTTTAGATGCTTCATCCTATTATTCACCTGCCCTACAACTCTTGTGTCTCAACCTTTGTTTCATGATTGCCCTCCCTCCAAGGAAACTTTTTAGACATTTTTCCTTATCACCCTCCAACTGAAATTGTAATACCACAGATGTACTGCAGATTTGTTATGTACTGTGTATATATATATATATATATATATATATATATATATATATATATCTGCTTTTTATATAAAAAGAGTAAGATTTTCACTCCCCTCCACCCCAAGAACCAACTTTTGTCCCCTTGGGGGTGATATCACCTCCATTAAGAATGTATGTCTTGGGCTTCCCTGGTGGCGCAGTGGTTGAGAGTCCGCCTGCC